TTCCAGGTTCAGGAGCTCTTACATTCTTTTCCTTCAGCGACTCAATTTCCACCTGCAATTTCTTAATTTCTTCCTCATACTTCTCTAAAGATTGAGACTGAACATTATTAACTTCCTTGACAACCCAATTATTTCCTGAGAGAGACCCTTCAAAATGCATTTTCAGTGAGGTGATCTCAGCTCTGCAATCATTGAGCTCTTTTCTTTGGTGCTCCAAGGACTGTTTTAAGACTAGCACCTGGTTCTCTTTGTCTCTAATATCTTTCTGTGTTGCCTCCAAGGATTTAGTCAATGTTCCAATTTGAGCCTCAGTCAAATCTTTGTTCTTCAACAGGGTTTTTTTTTCTAGATTCAGCTTCTGATTTGAATTCAGCAATGTTTTATTCTCTTGAAGCAGAGAAAATTTTTCCTCAGCAGCCTCTGAAGTTGATGAAAGATACTGATAATAATAATGCCGCAAGGCATCAGGTACCGATGCAGGTGTGCTCTGCCAAATGTCCAAGTTCTGGTCTGTAACCTCTTCATAAAATGTCATTGCAGTAAGACGGTAACCAGCTATAAGCAAATATTCCTTTACGGCGCAATTAAGATCTTGACGCTCAGTATCCTTTAACGGACCCAAATCAGTGAAGGAAGTATTATTTTTCTGATGAATTTGTTGCCCATCACTTCACTGAAACATCTCTACTAAACTGCGTAGCACTTAGTTCATGAAGTTTTTCTGTTTTCTTCTGCAATTCACTCTTGAGTTTTGAGATGTCTTCTAGAGCCAAGCGCAGTTCATAATCACTAATAGCTAACTTTTCAACTGCTGCTTCTTTCTCTTCTTCTGGAGCTGAAATCAACTTCAAGTTTAGCATATACTTTTTTTGCCATTTTGTTTGCCTGGTCATTAGCTGGATGAGCTTTAGATACAAATACAATAAACCATTCCCTTTCATCATTCTGGACAATTAGTTTCAAGCGTGGTTTAAGGATGGTTTTAAACTCATCAAGATCCTCACAGGTAACAAGCACGACAGTTGCATATGGCTCACGAAACCAGAACAGCAACTGCTCCTGAGGGAACCGGCTACGAAGCCTTGAATCTGTAGTTAATATGAACTCCGCCGACAACTTCTCAACCAATACAGGGTTCCTCGCCTTGTTATTCAAACTTGCTCTCTTGAACGGCAACCGCGCCTCAAAAGCAGGCTTGACAGTTGGCCGCAAATCACTCACATCCTCCACTGAAATGACGAGGCGATCGGAAGAGTTCTTGATGGTTTGGAACTGGGAGAGGAAGTTGGCCATGTTGGATCTGTAGAATATTTAGCAGAGATACATGGAATGGGAATCAGAGAGAGAAGTGCAGTGCAGTGAGAGTTCGGTGATCGAGTTCAGAAGATGTTACGTCCCGGAGATCCAGTGCTTCGCGGTGTACCACTCAACTAATTTATCATTGATGAAAAATACCATATTAATTTTCTTGGCAGCATTATCAGCTTCAGCCTTAGAATCTATTGAGGACAGGCCCTCAGCTGCAACACCAGCTATCACATTTACTGCATCCCTTCCAAATAACCCTTTCTCAAACATCAACCTATATGGATCTTCCCGCGGCACAGTAGCTTCAAGCATATCAAACAATGATGAGAAATGAAACATTGCTTCCCTGAACCTAGTCAGAAAAAATGGTGCATTATAAGTTCCATTCACTACACCATGTATGAATATGCTTGGATTAATCCTCCGGATCAACCTCAACACAGTATCTCTCGGACAATTTGCAGTCACCGTTTCATCAGAGAGGTTCTTCATTCTATATAAACAGTTAACCACTGTTACTTCTTCTCTATCAATCTTGAGATCTTCAAGTCTTACAGTGTCCCATTTCTGTGCAAGGCAATTGTACTCAAATGGAACTTTGAACCTCTTGCAGTACTTCTCAAGTCGCCGACCCGTCTTGGCGAAGCTTTTCTATCTGCACAGAACTGAGATTTTCAACATTGTCAAGCAATTCATTAGAGATTGCAATAAGATTATCCTTGAACTCCTGCAAATGACTTGCTGCTTCATAGCCCTAACTTGTATCTGATGTGGAGTCTGTGATAGATTCCTCAGCTTGTAGTTCAACACATATCATCAGTGCTAGACAATCAATGCATCCATGTTGTACTTTAGAAACTGAATCAGCATTCAGACAAGGCCATAATAGCACTGTTTCTACCATCCTTTTAATTGTATGCATCAAAGGATGAGAAAGTGACTCCCAGCCTCTGACCATCAGGGATGTGCAGATTGAAAATAAACAGGCCTTTATCTTCAGTACATTCTTAGAATCAACAAACAGCTCTAATTTGGAGCAAATAATTGGGAGTAAGACTTGTGGATGAATGCGTCCACACAACTCAGCAGAAAGTTTCCGAACATCTTCAAATTCAAACTCATAAAGTGCCCATGCATTTTATTTTGACTGAAATGTCCATACATAACAGATGAATTGAGATCATCAAAAGTTTTCATGGGAAGCATCTTAATAATGAGTAGCGGGCAAAGATGATCAAATAGAGTTCGCTGCATTTCATCATACTCATCACTGGTGTAGGTTCTACACTCCCATTTTGATAAGAAACTTTCATCAATCCCCTTTTGTTCTCTAACATGCAACAGAACATGATGCAATACAAGATCAACAACAATTTCAAGGTCTTCACTTATATAGCTGAATAACTTGACAATAGCTGCATTTGATGGATCTGCAAACATCTTGTCAATCAGCGGTCCAATTAAGTTGCTCCAGTCTTGAACACTTTTAGACCATTCTGGAACCAGCTTTAGTACTCGGGCAGTATCTAACTTTGACTCTTTATCTCCAGCTGACTGTGGAAGATCTAGGCTCTGGCTGATGTTGTTAAGACAGTCGACAAGTAAGAATATGATTTCAATATTCTGGTTGTGTCCTTTGAGCATTTCATCCCCCACCAATGTGTCACCGCACATGTCCAAACCTAATATCTTCATGATGTACTCAACCACAAGATTTGTTTCCTGTCCACCGAGAGCTAATGACTTCATGAATAAATCAAGATCTTCATCAGGTTTTATTCCAGCATTCTTTTCTCTTCTAGCAAGTTCCATCAACATATCATGTTTAAATCCAGCTCCTTGACAGCAACCAACAAACTGGAGAGTTTCCCTCACGGTCATCTCTGCTACATGCCAATCTTGTTGGCTGACATAAGCTGATGTTCTCTGAGGAACAAACTCATTCAGACCATGTCCATTGTAGGTAATGTTCCCTGACATCTGCAAACCAGGTCCTAATCTGCCAGCAAGAGCTAAAAGCAATGTTGTTTTTCCAGAGCTTGGCGGACCCAATAACAATGTTAGCCTTGAAGGTCTGATAATCCCACTGATATCAGATAGAATTGTTAATTTGCTTCTCTTTCTTCTGTATAACCGCAACTGTCTTAAAAGAGTCTCAGTCATATTACAGATGAAATTTGGAATTGTAGGCAGAGCTCTGCTTCCGACATGTACAAAAGTCTCAATGGTTAAGTTTTGAAATCGAACTTCAATCTTCGGAAACTCCAAATGAACTGCATCAAATCGGCTTCTCATACGGTGGAAGAATCTCTCAGGATCATTATCAACGAAATCAACAAGCCTTTCCAAAATAAGCTTCTGCTCCGGCGTCTGTAGTTCACTCACATCGATCTCTTTCTTATCACCGACGAGATTCTGGAAGATTCCTATCCTTGCTCGCTTGTAAGTCGGAAGCCTCTCCAACGCCGCCCAGCGTAAAGCCTCCTCATCTTCTCATCAGGCCGCGGATTCACCTCAATGTTGGAAAACAAAGCCAGGGAGTTTAGGTTCCTCAAAGCTTGTTTCCCAGCTTCAATGTTAAAAGTATGACCCGGTTGAAGCTGTTTTGGAAGTTCTCTTGAAACAACAAATCCTTCCGTGTTCCCTTCAACAACATTACCAAGTTTATCCAAATACTGAATAGACAAGTTTGTAATATCCCCTTCAACAACCTCACACACCACCTCACGCGTATTAAGGTTACCAAAATTAACAACCTGAGTACAAGCATAACCTTGTTTATTCAACATATCCCTAATCTCTTGATAAATCCAAGGAGGCAAAAGACAAGGCCTGGCAGCATCAATTCCCCTCTTATATTCCCTCTCTTGTCTCTTCCAAATTTAATTTGAATCGAATTCTTGAATAAACTCAAAGATTAATCTCCAAACATGCTTTAGAATCACTTGGAAATTGCACACTTGAATAAACACTTTGGACTTGCATCCCAAAACAAACATCTTTATCGAACATCCGCCAAACTTGACTTGTACAGAAAAAACTCTAGACTGATGAACCCTGATCGCGATAATCCTGACCAAACTTCTCATAGAACACTGCTTGAAAATTTGATGAATTATGATATAGGACAACTTGACCTTGAACAGTCACATTGCCTGAGAAAATAGCCTACAATCACGGGTAACTTATAGTCGAAGCAAACTCTTGATAGTTCGACCAAGATGAGGTCAAACTTTCATCTGATTTAGACTCGAATGAATGTCCTTGCCATTAATCTCCTTGTAAAACCCTAAACACACAGAGAAAAAGAAGAAACAAACAAAATTGAAAAAAATATTTTTGATATTTTGGTTAGATGTTAGTAAACAAAAACAAACATAAAAAAGTAAGAAACCCATAAGGGTGCGAAAGCTAAAAAATATGACCTTGGTTGTGGAATGATATGCCAATGAAATGTGGGATCTTAGGGGTAAAAATTAGGGTATTACAACCACATAGTACAACTAGATCATATCTTGTTTATATTGGTTCATAGACCACTAGATTGGTTCATAGACCAATGGATCCTAAAAAGACCGCATTACGTCAAAAAAAGACCAATTGGTTCATAAAAAAGACCACATTACATCAAAAAAAACAATTGAGGTACTTGACATCACCTCTTTTAACTCCAAATCACAGTATTTCTTTTTTCAGTTTCCATATAGGTGCTTGACACAAAGTCTTTGCTCCACATGGGCTATAATGCTTTGAATTACAGGAACCAACCTCTGTCACATTAAGAAGGCAAACCAAAATGACATAACACAATACAAAATGACATAAGAATTGACATAACACAATATATACCTTCTGTCGGTCAGATATAAATCCATATACTCTTTGATTGAATGCACTTAAATCTTCCAATAGCAGCTGCAAAAACCATTCCCATGAATCTTTGGTCTCTGCTTCAACCATTGCATATGCAATTGGAAAGATTTGGTTGTTACCATCCCTTCCTATTGCAGACATTAATTTTCCACCACACTCTCCCTTCAAAAAGCAAGCATCCAATCCAATGAGTTGCCTACAGGTCTTGGCAAACCCTGCCTTGCAAGCCTCAAAGCATATATAAATCCTTTCAAATACATGGTTCCCTTTGCTCTCAGCACATTGTACATACACAGTGCTCCTAGGATTTGACTTTAACAACTCTTTAACATAATTACTTAAATGATTAAATTGATCCATACCTGCTCCTTGAATCAAATCCATGGCCTTCCTCTTTGCCCTATATGTTTAATCTTGTGACATCTTCACTCCCCACCTCTCAAGGAATTCAACCATGAGACATGTTGGCTTCATATAAGGGCTATGCCTTAAGACATTTGCAATTTTTTTGGCAAGCCAAATGGTCTTAACATTTCTATTATGTGTAGTTCTATGACATGTATGGTCATCAACATAACTAAAACTTTGCCAATATTGTTAGCTCATTCCTTTTACTAATCCTTAGGTAGAACTTACAACCAGCCATACACCTTATTACCATCCTCTTGGCATCATTCTTTTTGATGAACACATTTTTCTGATTTTCCATTGCATACTCTTTGATGACATCTCTTATCATCTCTTTGTTTGTAAGCATCATTCCCAATTGAAACCCACTTCCCTCACCACTCTTATAAGTTATAAATTTGACTATATTTTTATCATCTTCACTACCAGGAGGTGTGTATAAATGATCAGAATCTTCACAATCCTCTTGTTGCAAATCAGCTGACCTTTTGCTTCCACTTGCCTCCTAATGTTTTTGGAGGTAAAACTTTAGTCCAATTCATCTCATCAGAATCTTCACTGCCTCCAACAATTTCATCATCACTTTACTCACTAAAGTCACTTGCAACATAATCATCATCATTCAATTCACCTTGTTCATTAGCATCCCTGACTTCAACATTAGGCTCATTGTCATTAGCCTCATTGTTTTCAACATTAGCCTCATCCTCATTGACTTCTACATTATGCTCATCCTCATTGACTTCTACATTATCCTCATCCTCATTGATTTCTACATTATGCTCACTAACATTATTCTCATTAACTTTATTCTCACCAACAATTGGCTTACTAGCATTACCCTCATTAGCTTTACCCTGACTAAAATCAGTACATTCTACCTCATCATCATCAATGTAATTTTCTAGTTCACTTGGATCCACAATCTCAAGTGGGTCAGATACCTTATGCTCCACATATATATCTATAACCTCATGTCCTACAATATCTTTGGCAAACTCCAACACATCCTTATCATTATTTAATGGCCTAAGACCACGTTCAAAGCTGAAGACATAAGTGAAAGATAAACATTATAATTGCATTGGAAACTAAAATGCAACACTTATTTTAGGATAAATAGTTTTATAAAATTATTTTAGAATAGGGAGTACTATTAAAGATAAAGTGTACCTCATCATCATCAATGTAATTTTCTAGTTCACTTGGATCCACAATTTCAAGTGGGTCAGATACCTTATGCTCCACATATATATCCATAATCTCATGTCCTACAATATCTTTGGCAAACTCCAACACATCCTTATCATTACTTAATGGCCTAAGACCACGTCCAAAGCCGAAGACATAAGTGAAAGATAAACATTATAATTGCATAGGAAACTAAAATGCAACACTTATTTTAGGATAAATAATTTTATAAAATTATTTTAGAATAGGGAGTACTGTAAAAGATAAAGTGTACCTCATCATCATCAATGTAATTTTCTAATTCACTTGGATCCACAATTTCAAGTGGGTCAAATACCTTATGCTCCACATATATATCTATAACCTCATGTTCTACAATATCTTTGGCAAACTCCAACACATTCTTATCATTATTTAATGGCCTAAGACCACATCCAAAGGCGAAGACATAAGTGAAAGATAAACATTATAATTGTATTGAAAATTAAAATGCAACACTTATTTTAGGATAAATAATTTAAAAAAATTATTTTAAAATAGGGAGTACTATAAAAGATAAAGTCAGACTGACACAATAATAATTATAGGAAAATTTGGATGGTGATTTCAAAATGTCTAAAGAGAGACTTAGTGTTTTAGATTTGAAAGAAAGAGTCTGAGTTTGTTGAAGATGAGGTGGTACAAAATATTTAATAACAAAGACTCGCTTAATAATTAAGAAGGATTTTTCAAAATGATTTTAAGAAGGATACTTACTCCAAATGCTTCCATGGTGTGTTGGAAATTTAAAAACATATTTTTTTTATTTTAAAATTGATCCTTAATAGACCAATCTAGATGTGAATCTAATTAAATCATTAATTATAAATCAAACATAAAAATGTTATGAAATTTTGGTCACAAACTTAAAAAATACTATTTTATCGTCTCTACGAAGTCAATGCAAATATGATAATTGTGATTCTTAGAGGAAAGAACTCCTCTATTAATATAGAGAATTTTTAAAATCTTAATACTCTTATTTTAGATTTCTCTAAAATAAAATAAATCTTATTTATACTTTGTAATTAAATAAATTATTAATTAAATTAAATCAAAACTAATTTAATTAATTGTTAATTCTTATTTATTTAATTAAATCATATTTAATCAAATAAATTATATATGGATTAATGTATTAAATAATATTAAATATAATTAACATATAATTAAATTAAATTTTATTTAATTTAACTATTTGCTCAACAATCAACATTTTATGTGTGTGACTATGCAGGTTCTAATAACATTGAAAATAATAATAAATCACCTCTTAAATATTTTTAAATACTACGCGATATCTAGCAACATGTTAATGTTAAGAATAATAAAAACTACTCCTTCCGTTTTAAAATGACCGACGTTTTAGAAAAAAATTGTTTTAAAATGAATATAATTCTCACTTTTCAATGTACTAATAATTGCTATTTTTTAATTGTGTCATATAATTATTACTCAGTACGCTATTTTCAATATATTAATAAGATTAATTTAGTAAAAGTACAATATCTTATGATAATATTATTGCATTTTTTAATTTGTGTGAAAAAAAACCTTAAACTACATTATTTTGAAACATAGGAAGTATATTCTTAGTATCCTTGTCAATAGCGTGTGAAAGGAAAGGGTAGAATGAATCCGTGGTTAAAATATTTCCTCAATTCGCAAATTATTTTACCTTTACTGAGATCCATAAACCTAATTCAGAAAACATCAATTTCAAAATTTTCAACATCTTTGATGCTAGTTTTTTTGGTGAGTTTATTTGTTAAAGAAGAAATGAAAAAGACATTGTGATAAAATGATACTCATAGAAGTCCAAGGTTTCATGGTGTCAACTTCGAATTATTGAAAGAGTTTGGGAAGATATTAAAGGTGATTTGTGAAAATCTTGCATGAGTTCCATAGAAATAGTAAACCATGAAAGATCAAAGTGTACATTTATAACTCTAATCCTGAAAAAATTCAGCTCACAATGATTATGCTAAACTTTTCTAATAAGCAGAGGAGTTGGATTAAGGAGTGCACGAGTTTAAGTTCAGGATTTGATTTAGTTAACAATTGTCCAGCAAAATATTTTGGGTTAGGAAGAGGGTTGAGGCTAGGGGTGGTTATGCATGGTTAATGTTCAAAACTAATTTATAATCATAAATAATTTATATATTACAATCGGTTATTAAAACCAATTTTTATAACCGATTTTTATCTTTTAAAAGGGTTATAAACCGGTTATTAACCGGTTATATCCATAACCAATTTTATAATTAGTTTTGATTTAATTTTATTTTAAAATTGATGTTTTCAAAATTATAATATTACTATGTGTAAACTTAATTCCCTTTAAAAATTTCACAATATACTAGTAACAAAATATATAGGTGTGTATTTTCATCAAAATATATAGAAATCAACATATTAGTGATCAACAAGAGTAACTAAAAATACTGTTACGAAGTGAAAATTTAATTCCTTTTAAAAATTAACTTTACTAATATTTCAAATACATAGTAACTAAAAATTACTATGTTGATTTTAAATATATAGGTTCATGTTAAATATATAGGTTTATTTGATTTTAAATATATGAGTTTTAACAAAAATATATAGGTTCATGTTGATTTTAAAAAATTAATTTTATTAAAAATTATTTTTTAAATTTTTTTGGAAAAATATTTTATTTACTGAAAAAAAATTATAACAATATTTTTTTTTAAAAAAGATTAATTTTTTTTTTGAAAAAAATTTTCAAAGTTTTTTTTTAATTAAAAAAATTGACTAATTTAATTTTTATTTTGGTTTTTTTGAATCATGAATAAAATAATTAGAGTGCTATATATAATAAGTGATATGAAAGAGATATTATATAGTTTAAATATCTTGAATAAAACGTTTTGCAAATCGGTTCTGGAAATTTTAAACAAACTCTTTTTTAATCATCATGAAGAGAGCAATATAGACTTTTAGTATAATACAACCATACTAGAATAAGTATTTAGATATTTTAACAGGTAGCGCAGGTGTGAAACTATTATTGTGTAACAATTATATTAACAATTAATAAATTGTATAATATGTAAGTCTATGTTAATATATAATAATAATAAAAGATGATTGGTTTAACATTAAATTGGATTCTGCAGCACGGTACAGGTAAGGGGGAAAAATCAGCACTCATCCGTCTTGCTGTGACAGAGACACTTTATGGACTTTGGATGTATAGGAATCACAATTGTTTCGGGAAGGCGAAGGACAACAGCTTTATACGGAGTAATATTATAGATATGATAACTTATAGAGGTTGGTATAGTCATAAACTTCGAACTCGAATTTCAGAGTTGATGCTATAGTTTTTACTATTGCGCTTAATTTCTTTCTTTTGTTGGCAGCGTATTTTTTGGTGTGATTTGGTAATCTTGAGGGCTGGATCGTGGATCGCCACATGCGTGTAATTGTTATTTTTTTGAATGAAATATACTCCATTTATTAAAAAAAAAAAATTGGTC